ATATTGTTGTGTGTGTGTGTGTGTGTGTGTGTGTGTGTGTGTGTGTGTGTGTGTGTTACTGCTGGTGCAGGTAGCAATACCAGTAGGTAAGGTTACCCAACACTTCCCATTACAACCTAAGAACCAGTATTCATTTGCTTATAACTTTGTCAAACTTTAAATGTTCAGGCATGTCTGCCTCAGCCTGAAATATTTTTTAAAAGTCTCACCAAAAATGGTGCAGCCATTTCTGAGAGTGAGGTTAGGTGAGGAGAACACACATTGTTTTACCCATTTTAACAAATTATTTTTAAGAATTTTTTTAGACATTCTGGCACCTGAAGTTGCTGCTCTGAGCTGCTGTGGCACTGGGCACCTGAACTGAAAGCCTGTAGATTCTCTTGTGCACTCAGTGCTCACCCCCACCCCCCTGTTTCTGCCCAGGCAGCAAGAAGGAGGGGGAATCAGCCTGACTTAGATTTCAGAGTGTCAAGGAAGTGGAGGCAGGGCATGGGGAGAAGGGGTTGCAGGCAGGGTGAGGGGTGGGAACAGTACAGTAGCTAGAGATTGGGGTGGGAAGCAGTAAGAGACAGAAGGTGGAGTGTGTGCATAGCAGCAAGTGAGGGAGATAGGATTGGAGGGGAGGGGCAGTTGCATAGTTGCTTGAGAGAGAGGAAGGGAGGAGAAGGGTTTTAGATAACTGTACAATGGCTCTGTGCTCATCCTAAATAGGCCTAGATAGGAGGAATAAGGCAGGATTTGGGCAGTGCAGCACATAGGAAGAGAGGGGGACAAACAGGCTTGTGGGAGGGAAGGGGCAGATGGGTCTATTACCACTAGAGGATTCTCCCCTTCAGAACCTGGAATGAAACCCAGGAGTCCTGACTCTATACATTCCTTACAGCTGATTACAACCCAGTTTTTCTGTGCCACAGGAAACTCCAAGTTGGCTTGTTTTTTCATTCTGAATTGGAACAAAAGTTCCAAAATTTCATTTGAGAAAATTCAAAACGACATTTTGTTTTGACTTTATCAAAACATCTCAACTTTAATATTATAAATGGTAATAGAACAGAAAAGTCAAAATGATAAAGTTGAAATACCTTATAAAAATCAGATTTTCAGAGAAGTTTTCATTGAAAAAATTGATGAAGTTGATACGTGCCCAAGGAAGGTTTCAGTTTTGTTGAAGCATCATTTTCTGACAGAATTTTTTTCTCTCAGAAAAATTTCCTTTGCTGTTAGCAAAAGGTATGAACAGGGCCGGCCCACATTTTGGCACCTGAGGTGGGGAGCTCAAATGATGCCCCCACACCCTCTCGCTTGGGCCAAAACTTTGAAAGGTCTCAATTCTGCCTTCTTCCTGTTCTACTGCTCTGCTACCTACCCCAATAAAGGAGAACTAACAACTTAAAATGCCTTGTTCAAAAATTTTAAGTAACACTTAACTTTCAAACGCCTGAACAGCAAATGTAACTTTTCTTGTCTGCATAGTAAACACTGGCATTTTTATCTGTTTGAATAATCAAAGTAATGCTTTCCGTGCCTTCTTGGTTGCAAAGATTTGAACTGCTTCTTGAAGGTCCACAGTCTGGGCTAGCTCATGCTCTATTGCAGGGGTAGGCAACCTATGGCATGCGTGCCAAAGGCGGCACGCGAGCTGATTTTCAGTGGCACTCACACTGCCCGGATTCTGGCCACTGGTACAGGGAGCTCTGCATTTTAATTTAATTTTAAATTAAGGTTCTTAAATATTTTAACAACCTTATTTACTTTACATACAACAATAGTTTATTTATATATTATAAACTTATAGAAAGAGATCTTCTAAAAACGTTAACATGTATGACTGGCACATGAAACCATAAATTAGAATGAATAAATGAAGACTCGGCACACCGCTTCTGAAAGGTTGCTGACCCCTGCTCTATTGAGATGGTTGCAAGGCCGACCAACCTCTCCTGTGTCATTGTGGAGCATAGATGTGTTTTTATTAACTTCAGCTTGGAAAAGCTGCGTTCTCCACTTGCAAATGTTACAGGAAGTGTTAGAAGTCTGCGCAGAGCAACAAAAGCATTTGGAAAGAGGGTGGTCATCTTATTTGTGCACATATATTCCAGAACAGCCTTTGGAGATGATCCTGCTGAAATGTATCTTGAAAGGACTTTCAGTTCATCACCTAAATCATTCGCATCACTATTGCGCATGTCATCATGTGTCAACACTGTCTCTAGTGCTCTGCATTGCTGGTGTAGGTCTTCTTCAGGTATAGTGAAGAGTTTTGGAATATCATACAACATCACAAATATACTTCTGTGTTCCTTGAGCTGCATGAAATGTTCTTCAACTGTCTGTATTGCACAATCTAGCACCTGGTTAAAGAATTCAACTTTGAATTGTTTTTTGGGGTCTCTTAAGGGATTATCCCATGCCTCATAATCAAAATGTCGTCTTCTTCGGTGACTCTTGTATTCTTGAATGGGTGGGAAAATAACTTCAGTGTGAAGTTCCTCTGCCAACTTCTGTGCACTCTTCAGAACATTTTGAAATCCCTCATCTGATCGGTAAGAATGTAGGTATGACTTTGCTTTGTCCAGTTGTTCCGTTGCTCCAGATATATCAAGGTCAGCACCTTGGAGTCTCTTGCTTACAACATTTATTTCAAACAGTTGGTCATGCCACAACACTAAGCCACACAGAAATTTTAAGTTATGTATGTTTCTGGTGATTCCATTTCCCTCTGCCACTGTTCTCCCACGAATGGTTCCTGTCATCGCATTATCTTCCATAATGGCAACTATGGCATAATCTATCTTCCCAATTTGGTGTTTGCTAGGCTTTATCACCTCCACTCGACTTTCCCATCGTGTGGCACTCAGTGGTTTCAGTGTCTGGGAGGATGTTCTAAGATGTTGCTTCAAAATTTGTCATTGATGAGTTGATGCAGAGAAAAATACATAGATGATTTAAATTACATTTAAAAAGTCAGCAGCCTCACTAGAAGCTGATGCTGCATCACTGACCAACAAATTCAATGAGAACTGCATGGGACAAAAAAAGCTCGAAGGTTTAACTTTCAGATCCGTGTCTGCACTCCTCTGTTCTTTCCTCTCATGTTGGCGCCATTATCGTAGCCCTGACCTCTCATGTAAGCTATGACAATTCCCGTATCTTCCAGTTTTTTAAGAAGCACATTTGTTATACCACTTCCTGTAGTATCATCAATGTCAATAAATTCTAGAAAATACTCTCTGACAGTCACCATTGCAGGGACGTTTTTCACTAGGTTCTGTTGTTGTTACAAAATGCACCATTAAAGTCATTTGTTCCGTTGTGAACTGGACCACGATCAGTGACTCATTTAATGTAGATCACTAAATAGCCACTAGAAGGAAACAACTTTTACCAGGGACATAAAAATGTAAGGTAATATAAAGAAGTCTTCCATTTCCAGTATGTTTCCACCACTTTTAAGGCCTCTTTGCACTGCCAGAATTGTGTAAAAGGAATTTAATCTCAATGAGAATCTGGCTTCCTGTTTTGTGGGTGATATTATCCCCCTCATATTATCATGTTAAACTATCCTTCTTAGTGGGATACGGAATTCCCCTTACAATATTCTGTGGTGCATCTACTTATACCTTAGTGCATCAACTAAATTCTTATCTGGGAGTTACTCTGAATAGGACACAGGTGGAGATGGTGTGTCCTGTTTTTTATGCTTTGTCTCTATTGTGTTAGATTGTGCTTACTCATGAGCTGTCAGCTCCAGTCACTGATGGACATATAACACTTTTACACTATGGTATATGAGAAAATAATATGTATATAATAAAAGTCAGCTGTGTTCTGGCTTGTTTTTCTTCTGAGACATTTAAAATCACAATGAAGATGTAATTATTTAATACTTAGAGTAAATAGAAGATCTATGGAAACGTTATATCCTGCAAACAACTCATGACAGACATCTCTGCAATCATCTATTCTTCTGCTCCAAGACTATTTTACCCAATTAAAATGTAATATCTTAGCTCAACAAAATGGGAAGGCATCAGTGCATGTTGACTTTTCAAATGTTCTTGCGCACGGCTTTAAACGTAAAGAAAATCGAAGCAAAAATCATTCAAGGTAACTGTTATCAAATGTCTGCATTGCTGGCCAAATGAATATCCAATTACACACACAATACATTTCCAATAGACACAAAAATGTATCTCCAATTACACGCCCTATAAATTGGACCTTCATCATGCTCCTTTTGCATTTCACATTGGAGCTGAGAGGTAAGTTGAACTTCTTTATAAATCACAAAAAAAAATCTAGTTAAAGTATAACAAAGTCTCAATTTAAACTTCCAATTGTAGATGCTTTTTCAGAGTTTCTGTACATTTCCCTCTGTTGCTATTACACCAGTCTATTTTTACTGAGGAAATCACCATACAGAAGTGTTTATAAAATGCTATTTATGACAATGAAGAGAGAGAGAGGCAGAAAAAGAATAAAGTCTGAATGGTTGCTTTTCCCTTTTAAAATATATAAGACAGTGTACCCAGAGTAATCTTTATTGTTTTTTTCTGACTGTAGTGGACATGCCTACCTATTGCTGCATAAATAATACTGGAGTTACACTTGTCACACAAGAAAAAATGAGATAAGTTAATCAATAGCTTTATAAAAAAGTTTTTTGCTCTCTAGACAGATGAGTATATTTTGTAAAGGATTAATTGTTTCATTTTGGTGCACTGTAATAATCATTCAATCTCCAACCGCTTTATAGCTACACTATCATGTTAGTATCACAGGGGGAAAAAGACTACACTGAAAAGATTTCAGTCCCAAACAGAAAATGTTATTTTGAAATAAAGAATTCACACTTCTCAATCATTTTTAATTTTGAAAAAAAGCACTCAGCACTGGGTAGTAAATACTCTTTGTTTTATAGCTGGCCTCCAACAATGTCGCCCCAATTGTTTCACGTAGTCACAGCAATAGTCTTTTTGCTGGCGACGAGCCATGCTGGGGACCACCATGAAGGAATTCACAGAATCCCTGGCAAACCTGGACTGAACAAAATGCCTGCAAAAGAAGGAAAGCCTGGTTTAAAAGCAGACCCAGGACTGCAAGGTAATTGCAGTGGTCACTCACCCCAGATATAGAGATATTCTGCTGTGTTTCATTATTTGTATCTGATAAACCAAATTCTACTTCTGTCCCATTTTCGAAAGTGACAAACATTTAGAAGCCCAAGTCTCATTGAAAGTTAGTGGTGCTTGGTTACGTAGGTGTTTTTCAGAATGTTACTCCGCCCCCTAAGCTATAAGACCACCAGCTAATGTGATTGTGAAGGAGTCCGAATGTGTCTACAGGGATGCTGGGTGCGAAGGGATTGTTCCAAACATACTGCCCTCATTCCGTTTTTAAAAGTCCTTTTTTTGTCATGTAGACAATTTCTGCATATCGTACAGAAGAATGAAAATCTGGAATTGTTTTCCATGTGATGTGAATACTACAAGTCCAGCTTGTAATGAACTGCTACTTACAGAGCCAAATCCTATTTGTCTTTATGTCAGTGGGACTTCTTGGACAAAGTGAAGTTGCTCTATAATATCATGATTTCACTATAAAAGTAACTAAATGTTAAAGACTCTAGATGCCTTTCCAGCCTGGTCTGTAGTGCTGGAAGTAAGTACCAATCACATGGGGCCTCGGTGTTCAACTTTGCATCTAATCCAGGAACTCTTGCAGTGAACACCGATATATATATATATATGTGTGTGTGTGTGTGTGTGTGTGTGTGTGTGTGTGTGTGTGTGTGTGTGTGTGTGTGTGTGTGTGTGTGTGTGTGTGT